TTTTCCCCCCCCCCCCCCCCCCCCCGCCACCCCACCAACTATTCTGTGCCACACTATGCACTTTTTACTGCCACCGCCCCCCGCCCCACACCAAAAAAACTCGCAGCACCACCAACAAAAGGACAAATTCAGTGGCCTCCTTTTATTGTGGCTTTATGGTCACTTTGGTCATCCTCCCTGCTGTCTCTGCTATCCTGCACAAAGGCTGCGAGGACCTCTAACCTATTGGGCAATTGAAAAGGTTAAGGTTCCTGCAGTGCTTCTCAATCCCATTACCTGCTTCACTTGTGGCCAATGCCTCTAGTCCTTGACTGGAGACTAAACTGAAGCAGGTGTAGAACTGCCTCCCGTGACAAAGGTGACTGCTCTCTCCCAACAGCTCCCCCCATCACCCCCGACCCCATGAATCACTGTATCTAAAGCTATTTCCACCACGTTGATTCTGAGCATTCTTTTTGTGTCATATGTCCCCTTTTATGGGCGTGCGATTGGTATCTCTGCGCTTGCCTTCAGACAAACGTTAGTGCAAGAGCAAAAGGTATTGTCCACACCCTTCACTGTCCACTCATAGTGGATGTAGACAGAGCACAGAAGATCCCTGTCTTCACTGCTGTTCAGGTGCAGGGAATTGCTGGAATGAAGACTATTCTGGAGTGAGTGGCATTTTCACAGCTACCCATAGAGCATCCCAAAGTGAGAAAAGCCCAAGCAACAAATCATTTTTCTGTTGATCACCTGAGTGCTGTTACACCCCACTTGAGAAAGTGAGCTGATTCTCGAGCACAGTACTCCCGGGGTTGCCACCAAAGTTAATGATCTAATTAAAGTATGCAAAGTCCCCAGTTTATCTCTGTTGGAATCAAGATAACAGAAAGCACTGACCAGGTTCCACCACTACTGTTTATTGTAAATAAATACATTCTAACCACAGTTAAGCAAGCCATGAACCACCGACAGGAAACCGACTAGTTGAAACTGTCTTTCCCTTTTAAACTCCTGCACGTATACACATACAGACACAAACAGAGTTGGTGTCATGGGTGCAGGTATGGGGGAGGAGAAAAAGTATGGGGAAACATAGTTCAATTGCACCAGTACACAGTTCAGATCTGGCAGCAGCTTGCTGTTCTGGCAGTCTGAAGGCTTCTCCCTGAAATGTTCACACACACACACACACACACACACACACACACACACACACACACAC